TGTACATAAAATTTATAACTCTTAATTATGCGTAAAAATTTGACAAATTTTTGTTGGGCAATTTTAAATAACTGTAGATAGTCATGAAGAGATCAAATTTAAGATCTCAGAATAGGAAGATCCAAGGTGCAACAGGATGAATCAACCAGTCAAGCTTAGACCTATAAGTTTATTGTCTGAGCCATACCTTAGACGACAATTTACTGTCTTAACCGGAGTACTAAGTCACTCTGCTACTGAGCCACATCAGTTCACTAAGCCATTATATAAGTCATCGTTAATTCTTTATGAAATGTTCCGTTTTATATACTGTGCAAGCCATTGAGAATATAATTTAATTAAGAAGGTCTTAAATCATTGAGAATTTGAATAAAATGGAAAAAAGAAAAGAAAAGCGGCAAGAAAAGTACAGAAAAAAGAAAAATCGAAAATAATTTACAGTTTACGAGTTTTTCTTCTTCTATCGTCTCGGCAGCAGCAACAGCAACGGACTGACGAAAGTGAAACACTCTTTCACATGAATGATTTAAAATAGATATCTTAGAGACAGTTTTTTTTCCTTGTGTCGCGAAGTTACTTCTCATGTTGATGAAATAAATAAAATAAAAAAAAAAAAACTTATGAGAATTGCGTTTGTCAGGGACAAAACGAAAGAAAAATTTTGCAGTACTATTATTAAACTGCAGAGTGCGAAACGACTTCTGAAAATAGACCGTCTCTTCAAGCCACTACGTGATTATTAAAAGAATTTTTCTCTTTCTTTCCTTGCTGTTTTTCCCGAGACACGGCTAGACAATTTTGAAACACTTTCCTATAAATTTTGTGACGTGAAAAAATAAAATCTGTGTGCGGCTTTTTCATCAATTTGCATGATCGTCTGACTCTTTTTCTTACTCGAAAGTCGAAATGAAACGGATGAATAAGAAGTGAATAACAATAAATATAACTGAACTACTATTGGACTAAGCACACAATATGGAACAGTAAAAATGATATCAACATCGTCAATACCCCAAAAACGCGTGTAACATAATTAAAGTTTAATGAACATTTATTATTAGATTTTCGTATTTTAAATATTAGACACGAGAAGAAAATGAAAATCAAAAAAAAAAACGTCTGCAAAAAAAAGTAACAAATCAAAGTTTACGTATAACGTGTTTAAGGAAGTGATGATTTAATTTAGTTTCGTTCACAATATTTTCATTTATTTTTTGTTCCTTTTTCATCATCACATTCGTCGGTAACAAGATTCATAATTTAACTAATCAACTTAAGAGTGGCTAGCAAACTAATCAATATGCGTGTTTCACAATCAAGATGAAATTACCATAAAGACATTAAACCAAACCGTTGGAATGTTAATCTTATCGTTACGGCAGTATTCAACATTCTTTCACTCGGCTTCTTTCATTTATTTTTCTTCTTTCATCAACCTGTTTCTCTAGATTCCAGAAATATTCACAAAAAAAAAAGATCTTTCAATACGTTTCTTAGCGTACACATGAGTATAGTAAGAAGAAATGCAACAACTGTAATCTTATGACCACAACGAAATATTCTGAGTCATTTAAAAACATTACGAAAAATGCGTGGACAGGTGATAAGTCCTTTAGGTAGGAATATTGCACGATCATAAGGATCTAAGCTTAAACTTCTGGACAATTAAAAGACTAAGGAGACATCAATACAATGTACCTAACCACAATTTGTGTGTCGTAACATCAATAAGCCCGAAAAAGTTCCCAATTTTTGGATCTTTTTAGAATTGGTCAAATAAACATAATCATGGCTTCAGGCTGTTCTGGTTAAAAATTCCCATCAATTTCCCCCTTTTCAAGCTACGCGTCTCCATTCAATTAATGATGTATTTACGGATAATGAGGTTCAGCATTTAGCCGCATGTTTTAACTATCTTTATTTCATTTATTCATGTTTATTATTATTTATATTTAAATATTACGACTTTTCTACCTCTCTTTCTTTACAGTTATTGTCAATATGATGAAATTTTTTACCATCTTCTTCTTCATCTTAATGTCTTTCATATAATAAGTATGCATATGAGTAAATAATATATTAAAGTAAAAGTCACAACTTCAGTATAGCTCTAAAAATGGAATTAGAGAAGAAAAATTCCCACAGTTTTTAAGAAATGTTGTACCATTTCATTTCTTCTCTGTTGTGGTACGAAATTCCTAAAGACTTCAGCACTCAAATTGAAGATAACATCAATAATTGATTGTGCAAAAAAAAAATTACTTAAGGTTCATTGCATTATTTTAACTAAGCGGCGTAAAGTGTCTGTGAAAAGCAAGACCAGACGAGACATTTAAATTTGTTCATAAGCGAAAAAAAAGAGAATTAAATTTTATGTCAAATGAGATGAGAAGAGAAAGAAATAAATGTGCAGAAGTTATGAGAAAGTATCCCACGCTTATGTCTTCCTTCTACTGACATTATATTGTGTGAGTTCTCAATATAAATTTTATTTTTCCTTCTCCTGTATGCACACCACTTTTTATTTCATATCATGTGCTATTCGAACAGTGTCTCTTTTATGCCTGCTTTTGGTCTTATTGTTTGCGCTAAATTCTTTTTGGACGAAAACACGTTTTCTTCTTAATATCGCTTCTTTTGCTCTCCATTGGTGTCTTACAACAAAAACGGCGGCAAAATATGAGAAAGAAAACAACACAGAAAAGTATGTGGTGAAAAGGCTACAAACAACCATACCGATTGGAATTTTGAGTGTGCCTTAAAACATATATATATATATATATATATATATATCTATATGTGTATACATATCAGAAAGACAGAACAGAAAGAGCGCTAACTATATGAGGCAACATAAATATCTTTTAAATTCATCTTATTAAAGAAAAAAAAACTCGATTTCTCTGGAATCAAATATTAGCATTTATTGCTGATGATGTTATTTCTTGCCTTCAGGTTGGGGAGCATTTTTTATGCCTCTCGTTCGTCTCAAAGCCACAAAATAAAATTTAGCAAGAATTTCTAATCTAAAAATCAATACTTTTTATATCCCCTAAATCATCGAACATTCTTTTTCTCACATTCCATTGGGGCAGATCATGAATGGCGTCTATAATATGTGTAAACACATTTAAACTCAAGACGTAACAACAGAACAACTCCAAACAATCTGGACTTAAAGCTAAACTTAAGATACTCAATTAATGATAGCATAAAATAAGAGTCTGGCGAGTCTATCAACACAATTTGCGATATTTCTTTCAACATAGATGATTCAGTCTAAATTTAATTTATCTATCCTCAGATCAATTTCATATTTTGTCATTTCACAGACATGTCATTTTTATTTTCAGCATTACATATAAGTTGTAGGATCTCTGACGATTGAATAAGGAAGATAAAAATTTACCGATAATTGATATAAAATTGATTTAGTTCATTGTTTGTTTTCTTTCTCCCCTTTTTCCTGTTGCAGACAGTTCATACCGTATTTTTTCCTTGTACAAATTTGAGAATTTTTACAGTTTATTTCAAAATAAAAAAAATATATATAAAAAATAAAATTAGTAAGAGAAGAAAAAAAATCTCAGACGAAATTAACGAAGAAGAAATATTTATCTTCGGCCTTTTGTTCTGTGATTCTTATTCATTCTGAAACAATTTTATTTCTCTTTTCCTTCTTATTTCTCGATTCATTCCTCGTAGATACATTTTTGCTTTATATTTTTGTACATATATATCGTTAGTTTGTATACGTTTGTCTGATGTGAGTTTTGCATGTATACAATATACGTATGATTACACTCTTTTTATTCAAGTATAGTTCATATATGTAACGTATACTAGAAAAGCCATACACATAACGCTACAAAATGAATTGTTTCCGGTCCCTATTTTTTTTTAAATATAGCAAAAAAAAAACCTTTTGCATACATCTATATACAGTTCTACTTGAGTGTGTGCATGATTATCAGAATAGCTTTCCTGGCTACGTCTATAAGAATCTTCTTGAAAGTATGAAAAAAAATTATGAATAAGAACAAGTGGCAAGTTGAAGATTATTACGAGAACATGCATGATCCTAATGTTAATTTGCCAAGTGAATACATGATGTCAAAACCTTTTATATACATTCTCACTTCCCTTTCCCAATTCGAATCTGAAGAAATTGAAAAAAAAATTTATATTCCTACAACTTTTCACATAAAACAATCACATGTCATAAAACGCCTGTCGACTGCTAAATTTAAATTTCTTTACAATTATTTTTTACTTTTTTGTCTTTTTCTTTCGTTTTTAAATTGATAAGAAAAATGTAAGGTAGTTCTTTTTAAGCCATAAATTGAACTGAAAAAATATTGCAAAACGTAAAAAGTCACCATAAATTTTGTTGTTGTTGGATATACACAAAACACAAATCGGGTAAGCAGGAACACCGAACGTCAAAAAAGTCTATTTCCTTCCCGTTTTCATGTTTCATATTGTTAAAATGTGTGCAGTATAAGCAATAACAAACACCAAACTAATTCTGAAAAATGTTACAAAGAATTTCTTTGGCAATAACAACAAATAAACATTGGAACTAAATGTTATTCAGGATCTTGTGTAAACAATTTTTTTTTTAAGATCCGATCTTTCTAATTAAAAATATCATTTTGATCATGCTAACAGCAATAAAGATACATAAAATAAAAAGGTATTTTTTTTTCAATATTTTAAGTTGATTTAGATGTCATAAAATGTTTATAGATTTCTTAAAACAAATTAAATATTCTTTTCATTTTGATTCCATATAAAGTTGTAAACTATTAAAAGTTTAATTATCAAGTATTTCCGACTGCCTAAAGAACAAAAACATTCATTTCCAAAAAAAAAAATCATTTTTGTTTAAGTCATAAAATTATTGAGCACACATGAATTTTTCAACAACTTTTCATATTTAAGGAAGTACTTTAAGTTTGATGCAATAAAATAATAATTAAAATATAATTTCGACATACCTCTATCATTAGAAACAGCTTCCAATGTCTCCAATATCTCTTCTTTATATGTAAGTATCACATCCGCTGCCTCCGTTTGCAAGACGCATTCCAGGACACGTGGATAAAGTTCTCTGTAATTAAATTATAAAGGAATGACAAAAATGTTTGTGATTAGTTTTATTGGACTTAAAGGAATGTAAAAAATGATGTCGAATTTAAATTTAAAATGAGTTGTAAAAAAAAGATCTCAAAGAAGCAATCAACCGCACGATATTGCTTATACATATATGTATATAGATATATGAAGAGAAGAGAAGAAAAAAAATATAACTGTAAATAAATTAAAGCACTGTGGGAAAATTTATTGGAAAAAAATAAAAAGCCAGTTTGACAAAAAAAAAAATATCATCAGCATGTGAATCGTTCATTACTTCATTTTACCAACACCAAATACATTCAGACTGCATTCTTTCGTTATCATCTCAAACGAAAAAGAAATATGACAAATGAAGTAGAAAGAAGAAACATGAAAAAGAAAGAGAAATAAAATAACAGAAGAAGAAGGAAAAATGTGGACGAGCTGCAAGGAATAAACCAAAAGATCTTTTTTTTTCTTTCTTTCTTCTCTTTTGTGTACCTTCAAAGTAACGCTCACAAGCGTACGCAGCATTTGTATGAGTATTCTGGACGAAGAGGCCTGAAAAATTCTTAGAATTTCATCAGAAGGAAAGAAAAACGTGTTAAAAGAAGATGAAAGAAGAAGCAAAAAAATGTCGTTCATATTCTTATTTCATTTCATCGTTTTTTATTGTTATTATCTTACGATGGATGATGATGATGCTGATGCTTTGAGCATCATTTCTATCTTTAAAATCATGAATGAGATTGATTGTGAAGTGGGACTTGGCTAGATCTGAGCTACTTTAGGTGGCTTTAAATATTCAAAAGTCTTCTGAACATCAAATTATCCCAAAATCTCTACAAAAGTGTAACTCAAAATTTCTGCCTCCAAAAATCAAGTCAACAATGAAAGAATGTTCTGAATATGATTGTAGACCTAAACTTGTAAAATTTGAGAACAATACGAGAAGAAATCGTTGGAATTTTGGGAGAGAACAAGATGAAAAGAAGAAAAGAATCGACAATATATGGTAGACAAAAAAGTCGATGTGTGTTCATGAGAAAGAGATAGATCCTTTCAAGAAATGTATGCCTTCATCATCAACGCTATAACTGATAATTTTTTTGTCTTTCATTTCATATACACATAAAATGAGAAGCGTTAAACATAAGCTAAGACCACCCGTACTATAAAGAGAAAGAGAAAATTGTGTGTATATATATTTTTACTTTACATTTCTCCAATCGTTTCTTTTACGAAATAAATTCCTTACTGTTCATGCCTTTATCGCTTAAAGAACTTCTCATTTATTTTGTTCTTTTAGCGCTTTACTTCTTATTCAGTGCTGTTTTTTTTTGTTGTTGCTTTTCACTTCCATCCGATTACATGTGAATAAAGTAATCTTTCAATTATCTACAAATACTATTGCAGAAAAAAAAAGAATTCCAGCGTAATGAAAACACGTTTCATTCATGCAAAAATTCTCTTCCTCCCGAATGAATATATACGAGAATAAATAAATGGAATGAAGAAAAATGTATCATCAATCAAAGAAAGTACCAGCAAGTAAGCATGCATTTACACGATATTTGACAAATTTACGCTATGCTTTATTATGATTGTTAAGTTTGTCTAGTAAATTAAGAGAAAGCACGATTAATATTATTTTTTTAAAGTCAAGAAGAAAAGCGTCACAAATCACATGTGATCGCCATTCAGTAAATGAAATAAAAAGTCATGAATGAATTGATAAAGTGTAAAGTATGTACAATTCGCACGATACTTATGACAATTGACATAATTTGCTTTAATCAAATAATTTCGAAATTTATTACTTCAGAGCTATCTCTTTGAGTAAAACAGATCTCATATCCATTTGATACATCTAAATTTTTCCTCAAAATAGATCAAGGTTTAAGACTCAATAAATTTCATTTTGTAGCTTAGAATTCTCGCAAAAGTCGTAATTTATTAAAAAAAATTTTTTGTGTCTTAGAATCACACATTGCTACTCAAGCTATGCTCCAGAACTAATTCCTTACCCTTGCCACAAATCCATTAGACAAAAGAGCTAGAGCAAGGGGGGTCGGGTAGGGTATCAAAATCAAATGCTTGCGATCGACAACAAAAGTAAGTGTGGCAAAAGAGGAATTCAAGTTAGTTATCACAGAAAATGATTTGAAAATGCAGACATAACTATAGTATGATATTCTTTTCTTTCTTATTCTTTTACACATTTTTTTTTTTCTTTTTGTTTGTATGAGTAATTCATTTTATTCATTTCTCTCTTTCTCGCGCCTCATATATCAAGCCAGAGTAGAAGAAAAACACACCAAGCAAACAAGAGAACCAGGCAGCCAACATTTAATAAAACTTTTTTGGTATGAAAAAAGGGGCAATGATCGATTAAAAAACATTCATGTGTGGAAAAGAAAAAAAAAATAAAATAAACGTCGACTGGTGTGGATGGCAAAGTGGATGAAGAAGAAAGAATATTAAACGGGACTATTTTCAATTGTAACAACATATATACATACTACGTCAGATAATTCTAAGCTTCTTCTCAGTTGAGACCAATACAATACATGCATATATGTATGATCCGCTATACTATACAATGTATATATACAGCAAAAAACATAATTCGCTCGCAACAACAAAACGCCATTCATAAATTTAAAGAGACACGCAGAAGGAAGAAAAAAAAAATAATGTAAATAAAAAGAAGCTAAACTTCTGGGTTTTGAATGATAGCTTTATTTTACTTTATTGCGCAAAAAAAAAAATAAAGACGAACGGAATGAAACCAGGTCTAAATATTGTCAGCAATATAACGCCAATATTGTTTAACTAATGTTTTTAAGCATTCCAATACATTATGTGTCAGTCTTGAGGAATGCGCAATTTGGCGCCACAAGAGCATACACATTGATAGTTTCTCATTTTCGTTATGCTTTAAAGTTCAAAATTGCATTCGATCTGACTATAAATACAAAATAAGATGATCAAGCAGACAGACAGCCATGAACAAATTTAGAATAGAAAATTCTTTGATCATTCGATTCTTAGACAACATACATCAAATGGGAGTATTTTCTTCTAAATTTTCAGCATTAGATGAATTGTCGTCCCCGACATTTATATTTAGTTCTCTCACAGAAAATGATATAAAACATACATTAAATGCTGAATTGAAAGTACATCACTCATCAAAGTCAGTCTATTTTTTTTTTGTTGTTCGATCTCATTTTGATCATTTAAACGTGTAAAAGCCAAACCACACTTTTTTTTTATCTGTATCTTCTTATGTATATCTCGTAGTGTACTCATGTCGTCAATTTCAAACTCCGGCTCATTGTCACCATTTGCCGTAGTATTTATTTAGACATCATTGATTCTATTTACAAAATAAAAAAAAGAGTCGATACAATGGATATTTACGTCATCGTTTACTTTTTATTTCTACATAGTAATAATAACAAGGAGACTTTTTAAGAGAGATGGAAAATTGATATTGAATTGAACGAAAAATAAATAATGAAAAAATATGGAGCTACGCATGAGGCTTTGTGCTTTATCAGTTGGCAATAAAATTAAGAAAACTAATTTTTTTTCTGTGTTTTATTTTAGAATAAATTTGCGTCGTCGCTGTCGTTATTTAGTTCTAGAGAATCAACACTTTACGCGCGCCAAACAAAGAGAGCCTGACTGCCATGAAAATTCAGAGTGATAATTTTTAATTATAATTTGAGTTTTTTTGTGTGCTATTTGGAATTGCTAATGAATCTACATAGTCGGTTCTGATATACAAAAAATAAATTTGCTTCTTTTTATTCTTTTTTTTATTTTCATACGATGATGACATAAGCTTAAACGTTACAGTAACAAGCAAAACTCATATGTCTTTCTAGAGAAGCACTTACTAAAATGCGTTTCCCCGCCACACGTTTGTGCCAAATAACATACAATATATATAAAATTTCAGACAATTATCATCAGTAAACATCCTTGAGCTAGATTTCGCATGAGTTTCTTTTCTTTTATTTAGAAGAAAAATTGAGATCAACAAAATTTGTAGAAAGAAATAAAAATGAAAAATTTAAATGGAATAAAAGAAAAGAAGAAGAAATGGAAGCATTATTGCCATAAAAAAATTTTTAATTCGCAATTTTTTGAGTCAAGAAACTAAAACTTCTAAATCATCGTCCTGTGGCACATGACAATTTTCTTTAATTTAATAAAAAAAAAATCTATCCAAAGAAACGAAAAAGAAAGAAAATAGCGTTTGTATGAAGCACACATGTGCTTGGTTTATGAATAAAAACACGCTTGAGAACATAAAAAATCTACATGGCTCACATTTACAAAAGCATTTTTTTTAAATAACTTCCGGCATTATTTTTTATAGTGCATGAAAGAGACGAAGTAAAAAAAATAGAATTATAAATAACCATTTTATTAATGTTATAGATACACGACTACATACATAAAAAGAGAACCGTGTGTTTAGTCAATCTTATAATATTAATAAGTGCGACTCTGAACTCAAACATGCCAGACTGAGAAAAAAAGAGAGTCAATGATCATCATCAATCGGCATGTACATATGTGAATGTAATGTCTGTCTAATTCTTCTGTGATTTCGGCATTTGTATTTTGAAAAAATCTCTTTTTTTTATTTGAATAAATATTTTTTTAATGTTCAAATATTTTTTTCTTATTATATTTTTAAGATCTTTTTTTTCTCCTTGGTTATATATAATTTTTGAATCTCTCCAATTTTTTTTTATTTTATTTCTTTTCTTCCTATTGCATGATTTGTTGAAGGTCCAATTCAAGAACTTTGTCTACATGTGACACAAAAAAAAAGTTATTCTAAAACGCAAAATCATAAACGTTTTTTGACATTTGGATACAAAAGAATGTCTAGCATTAAGGAAGTTTCCAAAAACATTTTTATCATGCACATTAAGGTATGAGAGATAAGTTGGCAAGTAAGTAATTTTAATA